TTCTTCGGCTAGCACCATTTAAATTTCGTGCTGCCCATATAAGTGGGAAGGCGAATGTGGTAGCAGACTGTCTCACTCGCCAATACGAACAGCCATCTGAAGATGCGACGTTGTCAGGTCTAGTCCTCGGCCAGCTTCCAGAAGCATTTCAGTCGATCACAGAACACCAGAAAAAGGATCTCCTGTGTAGAGATATCTATCAGAAGGTCGTTCAGAACGACCCAAGTGTAAGGCAATTTAAATTGCTGAATGGTGCTCTGGTTTACCATCCATCGAGAGCGAGGACAAAAAGGTATCTTCTTCCCGAAGCGTTGCGGCCGATGATCTTAGAGTACTTCCATAAGTCTCATTTGAGCGCCCATCTGGGCATAACTAAGACATTGAATCGCATCGCTAGAGTTTTTTATTGGCCCAATATGAGAAGAGAAGTGGCAGCCTTTGTATCACGTTGCCAGGATTGTCAGCGGGCCAAGCCGGCCCCCGACACTCGGGTTGGCCTCCACGCCAGCCAAGTAGTAACACGCCCCATGGAGCGCATTTTTATTGACTTCGTAGGACCGATCATCAGGAGCCGGAAGGGCAACATAGCCATCTTGGTGGTTCTGGATGGCTTTTCGAAGTTCATAAGCATGTACCCCGTCAGGCGGATTTCCGCCGAAGTTGTCAGAAGCTGCCTTGTGGAAAGGTTTTTCGCGTCCTTTGGCGTCCCCCAGGCGATTGTGTCGGACAATGCCGCGGTGTTCAAATCTAAGATCTTCTACGACTTATGTTTTTCCTGGGGAATACGGCACATCACCACCTCGCCGTATTACCCCCAGGCATCGCAAGTAGAGCGATTCAATCGCAATTTGAAGGTGGCATTGTCCATTTATCATCATGATCAGCACACTCGCTGGGACGACCATTTAGCATCCTTGACCCTAGCGTTTAACACCGCTTGGCATGAGTCGACTGCAGCGACTCCTGCCTCGCTGTTCTTGGGGAGAGACCTGAACCATCCCCTTGGGTTAAAATGGGAGTTAGCGGAACTGGACTTGAATAAGGAAGTGAAAGACGTTCGAGAATTTTGGCAGGAGGCGCTGGACAATTTAAAGAAGGCTCAAGCCCGTGTGAAGGAACGTTATAATGTGGGTAGGAGGCAGGTCGACTTTCGAGTGGGAGACTTAGTCATGTTAAGGCTGCACCCGCTTAGCTCGAAGTCTCAGCAGCGTTCCGCAAAACTGGACCTTAAATGGTCAGTACCTATGAGATTGGCGAGGTTTGTGTCGCCCGTTACAGTGTTGTTGGCTAACCCGGATACGGGGGTGATTGTACGAAAAGCCCATGTCTCCCAATTAAAGAGACACTTTCCACCGGGCTAGATGGCATTCAGAAGTATGATTTGTTATTATTTGTGCTTGTTATCTTAGAATGTAAGCCGTACCGGCTAGGTAGGTAATTTATGGCCATGTATTTAAGTTTATTTTTCCTTCCGAGCAGGCTGTCTTGTGTTTCTCTCCCTCCCACACCTATACCCTAGCCTGGATGGATGGAGACGCGACGCAGGACTTCAGGCCCCCCTTCTCGCTTGGTTGGACCCGATCGTCGTGCGCTCAGTCGATTCTTCTGGCCTCACGCTGCGGTCCCTTGAGGGCCCTGTAGGGACTGCACAAGACCGGCCGAAGAGGAAACCACCAACTACTGTCAGCCATGGATGGCAGAGCGGCAGGAGACGCGGACGTTCGGGAAGAGTGTTGAGTGCGCGTGAACGGGACTCCGCATTTCGGGGGAGTGATGTGCTGGGGCATAAATGATATCACAGACTACTACGAAAAGGTGCATGGAGCCGTAGTGAGTTGAAGGTGATATGGACCCGTAATGGCACGCTACTGAGTCTGGAGGACTGAGATATTGAGAACCCCCGGCGGAGCTAAGTGAAGGTCATGGGTGATCATTGATATGGATATTGTGTTGCTACTCACGACTAGGCGCAAGTACTCTGCTCTTCCTAGAGCGAGCGAGAGGGATGGGGGCGGGATGCTGAGCCATGCAGTGGCTCCGGTATGACGTCATGGGCTTCCAGCCCCTTGATCGAGGTTCTTAAACTTATCCCCCACCCCATCCCCATGCGGGACTGGGTCACGTGGTGTTGCCCTCTCCCCTCCTTTCTACCCCTGGGAGCCTTGCTTGGAAGTTAATTCGAGTTCGGAGTTCAGTTCTGGTTATGGATCCATAGGGCCTTGCTCGCGGCGCCGAGCCAGCCGGAGCGACTGTCAAATTCCTGTTCGGCTGGGAGTCCAAATTTGGTTTCGGCAAGTACTGGGCTGGTTCGCGGCCGACGAGATCGCCCGCGGTCGCCCGTCGTTGGGTTTGTAGGACGGCGGCGACTCGTACCAGTTTGGTTAAATCTGTTTTTATAATTTATATTGTGTATTTAATTTAGACTCAGCCTGTGGCCCGGCTATAATGTAGTAATTATGTTTTCATGCAACCCAGGCAAATTGTTGCGCCAGTAAATATGGGCCATTCTGCCCCAGTTAGATGCCGCTGTGTGCGAGCATGTAAATGTGCAGTTAGTTCAGTTGTTCTGTTTAATTTCTGTTGTGTTTATTAAATTATGTTATTTGTTAATATATTGATTGCCATCATTTGTAACTACATTTACTTCGCTGCTAGCTTGGATCCCTTACACTAACTTAGGGAGCGTGCGAGCACAGCACGAGAGCCGTATGACGGAGCAACGTTTCCCCCTCCGATTGAGGAAAGGTAGACGGAGCCGTAAGGTGCCAGAGAGTGGCGGTGCTGTGGTAGCAGACCGTAAGACGGTACAAGTGGTACATAGAGTACCAGAGCGGACAGACGGCACAAATGGTAGCAGAGGAAGCGGCTCAAGTGGTAGCAGAGCGAAACGCGGCTCACAGAGACATTCCTCTCAGTATTTGCCGTCCCTGTAACCTCAGATGAGATCAACGAAAATGGTTCTTAATTTCGGGGAATTAAAAGTTAGGAATTAATATTCTATTTATGAAAGACTTTCGGTTCCGAATGTTAGGAAGTTAGTTGAAATGACTTGCATCAATTATACACCAATTGACAGCAATGCTGGATGTGTGTAAGCCTGCTTTATCAGCTCTCATGAAAACATGCTTTGTAACATGAGGTTTCCGCTTTCTGAAAAAATGTTATCTTTATCAACAGAAAGACGCCAGTTCATGCTTACACTGGATTTGCCTATCGCAGTCTCGTGGCCGGGTTGCGTCCTGCTGCAAACTGCTTGTTAGTCCTAGCGCACACATGCAATTTTTAGTTGGCCGATAGTTGGCCGATAGTTGTGCACGATCGTGAAGGCCCAACGACTGTCGAGGGACGTGAGCACACACAATTTCGAGTTGTCCACAACTACGCCAATGCTCAGTCGGTCAGTCGCAGCGCTTGGATATGTAGGGTACAGCAGCAGCAGTGTGTGCATTGTTGTTAAGATTAAGGAAAAAGGGAAGCGGGAATATTGGGGTCACCCCATTTATAGCGAACGTCTGTTAAAAGGAAAATTTTACACATTGTACCATGAACTGAGACAATAGCCATCAATGTTTTCAATTACTGCAGAATGAGTGTTGATAGTTTTGACGAATTGTTGCTTCTTCTGAAACCTCATAGTGGAACCTCGCTTAACGAGCATAATTCGTTCCAGAATCTTACTCGTAATGCGACACACTCGTTAAGCGAAACAACTTTTCCCATATAAATTAATGTAAAATACGATAATGCGTTCCTTGCCGAAAAAATACCCAAAAATTTTATGTATAACGTTTATTCAAAGAAAATTATATATACATTGTTAAGGAGCGTGAATCATCTTCATCTTTTCTTCTATGAGGAATGAACCAACCTGGAATGCGAATTCAATTTGCAGAAATCAAAAAAAAAATCGAAATAATTAGTTTATTATTTATGATACATATCTGATTCTTTTTTACTAGTTGACTGAAGGTCAAATCGTGCCCGATTTCAAGTTGCATGTGTGCGCACTCCCATTAAACGCAATGTTTCTCGGCGAGATGCCCGACTATCGGCCAACTAAAAATTGCATGTGTGCACTAGGCCTAAGCAGAAGCAGAGCTGTCGGAGTCACGACAGATCTGCCCTTCGTTTCAAGCCCCTTATTCAATACCAAGAATACTGCTTTCAGGGACGTCACTCTGTGCAGAAGTTCCTCGACGTTTCGGAGGAATATCTTCCTCCATCCTCATGGTCTAAGTGTACGACAGTTTTGCAACCAGCAAATCGTAGGCAGAAAGCAGCGGAAAACAGGGCCTTCTCTCAAATGGATACCTCGTGCAGGGCACAACGTTTAAACCTGCCGGACGTGAAGGTGACCATTCATCTCCCTCCACTGCCAATTTGTGAATCCGTGGATCTATACTTTCACTCCCCCATACACTATCTTGCCGTGGTGCGAAGATGAGCGCAGGGACAGCTTTCCTTATAATTTCAAAGTCTGCATCCTTATGGGCGTCTTAACGTAGTTTCAAATGGGGCAGTCAACACAACAATATAACATTTTGTCTAATTGAGTATTATCGCTATTGTTGTGTTGATGGCCCCATTTGAAAGTAAGGTTTCCTTAAATTTTACAATTATGGTTCATTACCGTGTTCACAAGAGCCCTCCGAGCAGCCTGAGAAAGCAAGGAGACACCAACTTATACCTGTTTTGTCAATCGTCTGTTTTATTTTCCTTCAAACATTACATATACATTATAAGAACAAGAAATGCAACATGTGTCTGACCCTTGACTTGAAACAAAGCTGCGAACATCTCCATATACGCCTATCATCATACTGCATATTCATGACAGAATGCATTATGATTGTCATGTCACTCTATGGCTTATCTCGTCTCATTCGCCAGACAGTCTATGCTCACGACAAGAAGCTAAGCTGCACTTTCAAGGCTGTCCATGAAACTTTAATCCTTAGATAATGAAATCAGAGGTTAATGATTCGTGTTCTTCTCTAGTCACTGCCTCTTCACAAGATTGAGCCACATTCCTCCCTTGGGAGTCATTATAACGGCGCGCGTATCAATTTCGGCAATTGGTGGAGTCTTGTCGCTCGCCTGCACCTCAAATTTGGACAGCACGTTGATGAGGCCCACTTTGACCTGCATCATAGCGAATCTCATCCCTGCAACACATAAACAGCCTATATAGTGATGAGGCACCTCAGTACGTACAAGACTGGGATTTGAGGCCGTGCAGTCTGGTACATATTGACCAATGCCTTGGCGGATCCTGCTGCTTCAGTCTTCAGGGTAGACACTTTTCTGCCTTGAAGATGGAAGTAGCAAGTAGTTCCGAAATTATGTTAATATCTACCAGGCTACACGCTGTCACATCACAGAAGATGGTGAACCGTCCTGAGAACCTCAAGTCCCGCTAGCCTCATCTTCATACCTTTCCACATGAAGTGGTACTTGAGGCTTCACTCACGTGACTCTGTATCACTTCATTTGTCATTTATGGCGACCGGAAGTGTCGGATTTTCAATTTCGTCTTTTTGTTCCTCTAACATTGCTTGGACAGAGTGACTAAATGTGTAGGCGTGTGAAATTCCCACCAGAAACAAAATCGAACCTGCGAATCAATTATTACATATTAATAAATACAAATCCGGAACAGCTCAGGCGATATTGTGACGGGCTGCGAGCTGGACGGCAGGGGTTCCATTCTCTAAAGGGGCAAGTGTTCTTTCTATTGTTCATAGCGCCCACACCGCCTCTGGGGTCCGCCCAGTATCCTAAACAATGGGTACCGGTGACGATTTCCGCGACTGTAAAGCGGTCGGAGCGTGAAGCAGACCACTCACCTCCATCTAGAGCCGATGTCAAGAATGATTTTGCTATTCCTCCACTTCTTACGTGCTCAGAGTGTGGTGCTTAATTAATTAAGCACAGAGACATCTTCACTACGAAGTTAAGCCAACATAGGCGATGGCTAAGTCTACTGAGAAGTGTATCAGAAGGAAACCAACCGCACCTATACAGAGTCTTGGCCTCTCGCCAAACGGAATGTAGCGTATCTGAAGGAAACCAACCGCACCTATACAGAGTCTCGGCCCCTCTCCAAACGGAATGTAGCTGAACTGGGGCCTCTTCTTCCTCTCCTCTTCGCTGAAGCGTTCCGGGTCGAACCTCTCGGGGTCAGGGTAGTACTTGGGGTCGCGATGGAGCGCCAGGATAGGCAGCAGCACGTGTACTCCTTTTTCCACAGTGACGTCAGTTCCGGGCAGCTTGATTGTCTTCGTGCACTCCCTCGTAACCGCAGGAACTGGTGGGTACATCCGTAAGGTCTCTGTGAAACAGGGACACATTTTGTATGTAAGTGCTTACAGTTTGCAGTCTATGTCCCTCCCTTATTGCCTGAGACCAAGTTTCATATACACACACACAAAACTTACTTGTTTTATATTTTACGGTTTTATACAGGAGTTGAGGAGACAGAAGTTACTGAATTGCGTGTAACTTGCACACAGCGGCTTGTAGATATGTGTGCAACTTGTGTCATGCGGAAATTGCTTACCAATTATAGGCCTACTTCAGTGGCTCAGTCTCACGTTTTTGCATGATTTATTTTTGTTCAAGAAGCAAATTTTGGTCACATGACTGCGCCTTTTTGAATTCTCTTTCTGGTTTTGTACTTACTTGCACATTCTTGTGGTTAATATTTTATTTTAACAACTAAATTTGCACCTTCTGCACATTTAGACACTCACCACAGAAGACCTTATCTAGATATTCCATCTCCGTTATGGCTTCATAGGTGATTTCTCCTCCGTGTTTCTGCAGCACTGCATCAATCTCAGTGCGGACTCGCTCCTGCATATCTGGGTGCCGTGCCAGTTCATACAGACAGAATGCCATTGTGTTTGATGAGGTCTCGAAGCCGGCGATAAAGAACACAAATGCTTGGGCCGCTATTACTTTCATTGAGATTTCTGAAAGTTAAGAGAAGAACAAAATCATTAGACTTTGGAGTGACTCATTCCAGCCTATTTTATATGGAAACAAATTGCTTAGCCTAGAAAACTCTGAACATTTTTTAAAAATATACTACTATACAGAGTTTTTGTACCTTCATCACAGTAAATTTGTAATGATATCCCTTCAAGTATATTGTGAACGTCTAGAATATCCAACGGTTCACTGAGGTATCCTAGGAACTCTCTGTACAGAAAATGTATTATTAACGAAGTGTCTGAACACAAGATAAAATATTGCTTATCACTCACCAAACGGCACATTGCTCTTCAGTTTATCTGTTTGTTTCTCCAGGTAGTTTAGGTCCTCCTCTTCGGCTATAGACAATGTTTTGTTTTTGAGTTGTATCATCAGCTGCATAAAATCATTCCTTTCCACGTTATGCTTTTCGCGGTACTCGACAGTTTCTCTGACCATTCTCTGGAAGTAGTTGCTTACTTCTCTAGGAACTAAAGACAGTTTGAAAGTGTAAACCAAGGAAGGAAACACCACTTGCATAAGAGAGGTCATCCTCTGCCTGAAATGGGGTGCAAATACCCTTCTTCCCCACTGACGAAATTCTGCTTCTGGATTCTTCAGACAGTTGCACTGAATTCCGAAAGCGCAAGAAGATATCACGTCAGTACTATACCTCGCTAGGAAGTCGTGTATCTCTATCGGGTCCCCGTTGTCGACGCTTTTCAGAAGAGCCGCCTGCAGGTCTTTGCCACATTCCACCACCGCTCCGAACATCATCTTCATTTTCTTTGTTGTGAATATTGGGGTGAGTTTCACCCTCAGGTTTCTCCACTTGGTTCCAGACAGCGAAAATAAATGACCATCCAATGGTTCGTATTCATCATCAAACACTCGTCCTCGACTGTAGAAATATTCGAAATTTTTGACCAGAACATCCTTGATAACGTCAGGGTCCAGCAGTAGAAGGGACGGACCAGACAATTTATACAGCCCTCCGACTTTGTGACCTTTAAATGCTTTGTACAGATCTACGATTTCGAACGCGGGGTTTATTCCTGAGATGATGGAACCGGGGAAATTCCCGAATGGAACAGTTGGTTTCACGGTCGGAACACCGCGTTTCTCCCAGTAAGAATAAGATATTTTGAAGTACACATACAGGGAAAACAAAATGATGGCGATTGTAGCTCCAGACTCTAAGAGCCACGAATGTGTTGTCTCCAGCATTTCGAGCGCCACAGCAACGAGTGAACTTCAGAAATATCAAAGCCTGTTCTGGGAAGGAAAAACATGTAAATTAGATTATTTTTATCTTCTGCGTACTGTTGTGTTATTAATTCTAGAGCCAGGAACCGTCGGTGCAAGAAAAACAGTGTATTAAATTTTAATAAAATCTATTAAGAACAATAAAAATATATCAATTGTTTAACTAATTGTGTTCTCTTATTCATCTGCTATATATTTAAGTCGCAAGGACCACCACAAAATGGTTTGTAAATGCATACATGAAATATGTTATATTCGTCACGTAATACAAGAATTTATTACGATTTTTTTCATTGTAGAAATGGATTAATTTCATTCTGCAGTTCAATAAAATATATTCTATTTATTTGTTTATCAATATAAACCACCTGATGGCGCCCCATGCAACCCAAACACAATTGAATGAGAAAATAAACTCGATTAATCCGTGTATGTATTTTATTGGTCTAAATATATTTTATTAAGATTTAAATTAGTTCCTGTTGCGTCGATGTCTCCAATATAAACACTAATATATATATATATATATTAGTGTTTTCTTTATTCTTAAATTACTGAACTAATAAGAGTTTTTACTTAATGGGATTTGTAATTCAATTTAAATTACAATGATTTCTATAGTATAATCATAACTGCAGTCATAATCGCGAGCTGTTGAAACACACACACAGTTATCTGGAAGTGCGGAAGAGAGGTTTAAGTAATATTAAGTATTAAATATTTCTCATTTTATGATTGCAGTACTCTGAAATGCAATAAAAAGATTTATATCTTGTGGCAGCGCCTGAGATCTGAACATTAGATGTAAATGCTGAGCAATTAATTAATATTTGAATTGTTTCATTTTGGTCCGTTACACTATCAATCACCAATTNATTAACACTTTGTTGTATTGTCACCTGGTTTCTATATCCTTCATCTGACACATGCGGAACAAATTTCCTGTGCAATCGTCTTATACTTTCTCGTGTTCACCTTCTTGAAATATAGGAATATTTTTGTCGTGCCACTAGATTGGCGGATGATCTCGCCTATACCCAGTGAAATGCTCTAGAAATTTCAGATTGATGTAGAAATGTACAAGTTGAAGTGAAAATCTTTTTAACTAGATTAAAATGTGTAGCTGTGGCAGATAATTTTGTTAAATCAACGTACTCACTATACAATTAACTTTCTTAATGTCAAATATTTTTTTGTAAAATCTAAACAAATCGTAGGTTATATAAAATATTACATAATATGTTGCATTATTAGACAGATACTTCTGACGCACGGACATAGAGTTGAGATGGTTTTCTTCCTTATTAAAATACTATATTATAAGAAACAATTAACTTACTTTAGAGGAATTTCTTTTGACGTCGAGAGGCCAAATGTCCAACTCAGAGACCCTGAGCGAGTTGTGGTTTACATAAAGATCTTGCTACTAATATAAACAAGTGCAATTTTGTCAGAATTACGAGACAGGTTTCTTCATGAAGCGCAGCTTGAAAACGCTACAGCGCGCTTTTTCTCGGCGTGTTTTGGTATCGACCGATTACGTGCGCTGACTTAAGTACCAATGCGTTAATTTGAGACTAGACACGCATATTCATATAACTTTATACAATCTCGTGGCTCGTGACCCGACAGATTAGACAGACTTGCTCTTTTTGTAAACATATCGTAATAATAAGTGACCTAGTACTTTTAACCTTTCCCCCCTTCTTGCGTTGTCATCTGATGGCCTGCAATTCGTACCAAATTTGTTGAATGTCTGTCACGGGGCTCAAAATTTGCAATATAAAAATACAGACACGCAGCATCATCACCTCATTAATCTCTTGTTAAGCTGAACAATATGATAATGAAATCACTTCCAATTTGTGGCTGTGTGTCCTATTTCAGCATTCGACGTAAGTGACCACACTCTCATGAAATTCGGAATGAATATTGTGCCGGTGTAAGCTATCCAAACGACGTAATTCTCGATCTTCTGTAGGTGATAACAATGTTATGGACGCGCCAATTTGTGCAGTGGAAGCGAAACAGGTAACATCGAACCTGGAGCCTTGGAATGACGTGTGATAACTGTCTCAGGAAACTATGTAATTTTTGTAAAGGTTACTTTTTAGAACGTAAAATGGCAACATGGCTGCTGTGCGAAAATAACCTTCAGCTTTCGGTGTGATGGCGACGACTAATCGACTGTTGGATACAGGATTGTGTAAGTTGATACGGAGATGAACAATAAACTTAGCTAGATATTTCAGTGGACCCTCGAGCTTCGAAAGGTTTGATGTTCGAATAAATTGAAATTCCCACAAAAAAAAATTCGAGGAAAAGCCGGTTTTGAAACTCGAACAAAAACTCGAAAGTCGAACAAAAAATCATGTGGTAGTCTTCTCCCCTTCCCTCACTCTCTCTCTCTCTGCTTGGCGCACGCGCAGTTGCTCGGTCAGTTCTCCCGTGACTTGTTCGGTGAACATCCCTCAAATTCAGTCTTTTTTAAGCGTTTTATTTATTTCTTTGTGTTATTTTTATATTATCTTTAATAATAATAAGCATCATCATCATCAGTAATCTGTCAGACGACAGGTCCACAGTCTCTTCCAAAACAATTCCTCCATTTAATGCGATCTAGAGCTTTCTCCTTCAAATGACAGTATCCTCTTCTGTCCCCAAGGTCATCCAGCATCTTCTTACGTCTTCTTCCTCGTCTTCTTGTCACTTCTATCCGCCCCTCTTTCTTTCCTTCAATAACTTCTTTTAGAAGGCAGTTTCTGCGTAAAACATGACCAATCCAATTAGCCTTCCGTTTTCTTATTTCATGTAGGATATTCCTCTGCTCACTGACTCTAATTAACACTTCTTCATTTCTCACATAATCGGTCCAACTGATCTTCTCCATCCTTCTCCAACACCACATTTCGAAACTTTCCAGATGTTTCTGATCTACTGCCCTAAGTGTCCATGTTTCAGCCCCATACAGAGCTATGCTCCAAATGTAGCATTTCACTAGTTTCTTCCTCAAATTTAAGTCCAATTTGCTGGTAAAAAGATTCTTCTTCTTGCTAAATGCAGCTTTTGCCATGGCAATCCTGGATTTAATTTCACTAGTACACCTTCCATCATCTGTTAACAAGCTACCCAAATATTTAAAACATTTCACATTCTCCAGTTGTTTTTGGTCTATCTTTATTGTGACTGGGGTTGGTTGTCTCGAAATTTTCATTACTTTTGTTTTCTCCACATTCATTTCCATATCTACTCATAATATCACCAAAGAAAGTTACTGGAGGTGAAAAGCCTAAGAGAAAAATCGTAATTTCTAGGATAAAAATGAAAAAAAAAATAAGATGGAGGAGTACAGTAATCAAGCGGTAAGCTGGAGGAGTACAGCAAGCAAGCAGTAAGCTGTAGGAGTACAGTAGAGGATCTGTAGGAGTACAGAAGAGTACAAGAAGTCAGACTGTGAAGACTTTATGTGTACTGTAGTACAGTGATATCTGGTGTGTGTAATTCAATGATACTTTTACAGTTCCTGTGTTATAAATCCGTTGCCAGGAAAGGGGCAGTGAAGACTAATGGAAATAAACTCAGAAGATTAGCGTCAAGTGATTTGTAGTGTGAAAATCAGTATCAGGGTCATACTTATTTGTAGTTACGAACTGTGAATGGTCAATAAATCCAATTACCAATCCGAACCCTTTCTATAATCACTAATACACGTGGCAGTATAATCAGTGAAATCATGATTTTATATTGATCCCCCCCAAGGGCTACAGGGCGTAAGAGTGACTCGATGGAAGCCTGATGTGTAGGAACTGCAGCCAGAGATGGACACAGTCAAGGTCTCTCGTTGAATTTTCAACGGTGATTCCACTAGTACGTGTAGTCGTGAAATATTCGAGCGAACAGAGAGAGTCCTTCAGCGAATGTCTCTATTGTAGCCTCCCCTCTCAGGGTTATTTATATTAATGACAAAAGAAATTCATTAAAATGACAGATGTACTCCCATAAACGTGTAGGTAGAGGAATCCGACTGGACGGAATACAGAGCCGGATACCACTAGAACCTCAAGGGGGTACCAGCATCAGTGGACTCGCAACTTGGAGCACTGTGGAACAGTTACGATGAAATGGGTAAAGAAAGCACAACACAGTTCACCGCTGGCAGCCTCATGCTCTCGAATCTTATAACTAATTTAGTGTCTATGTAAGATTTGAGGTTTTCACGGCGGTGACTATGAAGAAAGCAGTCTTCTGGGATGTGGCGCCGTGTAGAACTTGTGTTAACCGATGTTTCGGAGGAACGTGCCGCCTCCATCTTCAGTCTGTTGCACCTGCTCACACTGATTCGTTCGCGGATTTCTGCTCGTGATCCACAACGGGTTTGGCGCCAAGACGAACAGATTCGCGGGAAAATGCCAGTCGTAAAGTAACTCTGACTCTGATTCTGACTCTGATCCAACAAACGTAACGCCTACATAAAAAGATCGACCCCTCCTTCGACGAAGAGGAGGCCCCATTTCGAAACACGTACGTGTCTAGGAGAGAATAAAAATCTTGGTCATGTATCTCTTGGTGACTGAAACCAGGGATGACTGTGTTGGCGAAGACCAGCAGCAATTTAACCGACCGACCTACAGTCGGTAAGAACGTGAGCACGGAAACAGAGGGTATTGTTGAGATCCGTCACCAGGCAACGGCTGGTGAAAATAGAAAAGACTGAGAAGATTTAGTATGTGCTGTAGTGAACTGTAGAGTGTGTGAATTAGCGATAGCGCTATAGTTACTTGTAGTTACGGTCTGTAAGTGTTCAGTAAATCCAATCACCAATCCAAACCCCGTCTATTGTCACTCAATCGGGTGACAGTATAAAAATATAAAATTTATAAACCAGTGAAAATTAAATGATTATAAGTCGATTTTTTTTCCTTGGCACTACAGCCCCAGTGGGCCTAGGCCTACCTCCATTAACTTCTCCGTTCACTTCGGTTTTTCTAGATCTTACACATTCGGTAGGACTCCTTGGGCTGGTGATCAGCTCGTCGCAAGGCCTCTACCTGTACACAAACAGAAAAACGCAAACACACAAACTAAACATCCATGCCCTGAGTGGGATTCGAACCCACGATCCCGGTTTCCAAGCGAGCGAAGACAGTACATGCCTTAGACCACTCGGCTACCGTGACCGGCGGTTATGAGTAAATATCCAGCACTGATTTAAATAAAATAACAATCAAATTATTTAAAACGGTCCGAAAGGAAAAGGCGGGAGTCAGAGAGGATGAATTGCAAACAGTGTACTTGAAGCTCGGTATGAACAAAACTTTATTCAGGAAAAAGTTACAACATTCAAAGTGAGTTTGTAGTTTTGCAGACGGTTAACGTTCTCCCAACTTGTGTCTCACTGTACAAGTACATTTCTCAAATTCTTGCTTCCAGTCACAAGATGTAACATTTTAGTTTGTTTCAGTAAAGTCTCTCTTGCCTGTTCACGAGTTGAAGCCATAGTTTTCCTTCGTGGGATAACAAAAGACCTTTTTTGTTAAACACAATGCGTCGCGGCGTCTCCTCCGAAGCCCGAACGTCGTACTTTGATAAGACACTGACGATCCCTACTTTGGTCTGCATCAGGCCGAACCTCATACCTGTAACACAAGTAGCAGTACATGTACAAGCTATGAGCGGGTTTCTCAGTTTTGTATAACAAGTCATAAAGTTAACCGATTTTTCGGAGGAACATTTCGTCTCCATCTTCATGGTCGAAGAATTAGTCAAAGAAGAAACCAGCAAGTAGCAAGCAGGGTTTTGCTACCCGTAATAGAACTTTTAGTAAGCTAGATTCACACATCTCTCTTTGGACAATTGTACTCGAGTCCCTGTTTTCTAGTAACCAGCATATAACTTGAATTAGAGGATTAAAATAATTCGAAATATACTGAAATATATTAATCTGAACTGTCTTAAAGCACGACAAACAAAAAGCATCGACCTCTCGTAAAATTACAGATGTAATCCAATTTTTTACTCACTTGGAGTGAAAGCGAATTCTTACGGAACACGATATTATGTGCAAACACACGTAGAGCTGCTTCTCAGAGCGTTGAGAGATGTGACCCGGTTACTGCTGGTCCCAAGTCCGGCCTGTAGTCTAAAGTTCACGGGTTTCGGCCTTTGTTTATGTAGGTATGTATAATGTGTCGATAAATATTTTGAATAAATAGTTTCCCTGAAAAAGAATTTGCTTGAAACCCAGTAATCCGAATGACTGGAAGGTCGAAACACACAGTACCCTAATTAGTTCGTACCGTCGAGGTTCCTCTGTATTCTTGTGTGTGTTAGTGTCTGATCTGTCAGCTTTCTATCCGTTCTATTAGCTTTCCTACAATAAAACTTCACTGCGAAGTTAAACCAACATAGGCTATGGCTAAATCTACTGAGAAGCGTATCAGAAGGAAACCAACCGCACCTATACAGAGTCTCGGCCCCTCTCCAAACGGAATGTAGCGTATCAGAAGAAAATCAACCGCACCTATACAGGGTCTCGGCCCCTCTCCAAACGGGATGTAGCGTATCTTAAGGAAACCAACCCCACCTATACAGTTTCAGCCCCTCTTCAAACGGAATGTAGCCTATCAGAAGGAAACCAACCGCACCTATACAGACTCTCGGCCCCTCTCCAAACGGAATGTAGCCTATCAGAAGGAAACCAACCGCACCTATACAGAGTCTCGGCCCCTCTCCAAACGGAATGTAGCTGAACTGGGGCCTCTTCTTCCTCTCCTCTTCGCTGAAGCGTTCCGGGTCGAACCTCTCGGGGTCAGGGTAGTACTTGGGGTCGCGATGGAGCGCCAGGATAGGCAGCAGCACTTGTACTCCTTTTTCCACAGTGACGTCAGTTCCGGATAGCTTGATTGTCTTCGTGCACTCCCTCGTAATGAGAACCACTGGAGGGTACTTCCGCAGGGTCTCTGCGCAACAAAGGTATATTACGTGAGAAAGAGGTTTCCACGGCGACAAGAGCTTCCGTTGTCGTCGCTAGGGTCATTACCGACATTTCGGAGTAATCTGAAGAAGGGGACACGCAGGTTGCTCCAAAATGTCGATAATTACCTACGACATTGTGCCGTGTCATAACTTGGAATGTAAAGTCCTTTTGTCTAATGGAGGACGCCTCAAGTAGCTTGGCGCCAAGATGAACTGATTGTGGTAAACCGCCAGACGTAAAGTAACTCTGACTTAAACGTCGTTACCTGTGCATATATACAGGAAGTGTCAATATTCTGGGAGGTCATAGTATCGGCCATTCTAAGCTAAAAGTGTATGTGTACATGTGTCCTATTCAGAACGGTTTCCGAGTACAGTTCAGTACACTGTACACTGTACAGACGACCAACACGCCATGTCCTCATACGAGTTACAAAGTGCATTAACCTTTCAAAGACTAAATTTTACATAACTAATATATGACAACCCGGTTCGTGCCTCACAAGAAACACATTACGTCTCCACTACAAAGCCTAACCGGTTACTGCTGTTTAGGGAAACAGCCGCTGTTTATTGTGAGAACCACATGGAACACACAGATACACCCTGTGGGCAGAATGCAGTATATATATAAGAATTCAGTCCGTACCTCACAGGAAACATTACGTCTCCACTACAAAGCCCAACCGGTTAATACTCTTTAGGGAAACAGTTGCTCTTTACTGTGAGAACCATACGGAACACATAAATACAATCCGTGGGCAGAATGCAGAGTTTTTGGTATGTTAAGGAAGGCGGTACATATAGTGACCGCTGGGATTTAAAGGGTTAACATTGACGGTGGAATTTTCGAAAATGTGTTATACTGTACCAACTTTGTCACTTGAACAATAATACCGGTATTAGAAACAGTACGCGATATCTCTTTCTTATCAACAGTTTTGGAACTGTACAGTGAAATAGCTGTATCTCGGAAACCGGATTAGGACACATGTACATATACGTTTCTTTCAGATTGTCTGATACTATGACCTACTAAAACACTGACCTTTCCTCCTGGGACACACCATATAACTAAAATATGCAGGACAGGGGCAGAAGTGAACCTAGACCATGTAAATCCAAATGTGTGAGATACTGGACAAGGAGAGGCCAGGCAAAGGAAGTAAAAGAGCCTTAAACTTGACGGCGGTCAGGGCTCCGAACCTTCAGCTGACTAATTGCAGTTAAGGCATAGCCTGCATTGACAGGAAACCTCTGTAGTCGTACACGTTTTATGAATGTTAATTAGCATAGTGCAGTGACACAGAGCCCACAGGGACCTGGACGCCGTGACAGCGCGAATAGACTCGTGCTGAACTGCAGTGCAACAAACGTAGCGCCTGCATAGACACACCGACCCCTGTACAGTGCAGTGCAGTGACGCACAGAGCCCACAGGGACCTGGACGCCGTGACAGCGCGGATATACTCGTGCTGAACTGCAGTGCAACAAACGTAGCGCCTACATAGAAGGCCGACCCCTGTACTGTGCAGTGCAGTGACGCACAGAGTCCATAGTGACCTGGACGCCGTGACAGCGCGGATATACCCGTGCTGAAGCTACGGCACAACAAACGTAGCGCCTACATAGCTAGACCGACCCCTTTCTCATCGAAGAGGAGGCCCCATTTAGAAACATGTACATGTCTAGGAGAGAATAAAATCTCGGTCATGGATCTCTAGGAGACTAAAGCCAGCAATGACTGTGCTGGCGAAGGCCAGCAGCAATTTAACCGACCGGCCGACATTCTGAGATAGGAGGTCCTGGGCCCTCATTAGGAAGCCATGGGCAGAGCAGGACAGTCTTCAGCTGTAAGGGAGTGAGGAATAGCCCTTGTTAGAAGACTGTAACCAGGAAACGACTAGTGGCTGAGGAAACTAGTCCGGAATCGAATGATTTGTGCAGCGTTAAACAGTTGCTTGAAATTCCGAGTTGTTAGTGTGCAACAAATCAGATTTCCTGCCCAAACTCCGCCTATAGTCACTTAACACGTGACAAAATTACAAAGAATTCGTAGGGGTGACCATCCCATTCTGTAATGGAGATGTACAGACACTGGGCAACTGGGGGGGGGGGGGGTTTTTTGTTAGGGGGGGGAGCNTGAGTCCTCGTGTCCACCGGGTGCCCGTGGCTGTCTCCCCGGTACGTGGTATCCATGTCAGTGATCACGTGACCATCTGTCTCCTGTCATTATGTTTCACATGAGAAATTTATTTGTGCGAAGAATACTCTCTTCTGGCATGTGACGCCATGTAATCTTGTAGATGATAATTTATGTTTCGGAGAAATGCATTGCCTCCATCTTCAGACCTGAACAACAAACATCATGTGTCGTTTTACTTTTACCAATATTTTTGCTTAAAGCGAGGTACGGCGATAGGAGGGTGTGGTAGATCACTGGCAGTTTTGACACTAAAAAGTCGATCACAACCCGTTTGAAGTTGGACATGCCTGATCTAGACAATCGGCTCAAATATGGCGGTAAGATTGTCAGCCTTACGCGCCGGCCGCGCTTTACTCCCAAGGAAAATTATTTCATTAATTCCTGGTACTAATTTCTGTTATAGGCTATATAAATAAATATAAATGTATTTCTTACGGATTGTGTCACGTTGCTTAGGAGTAGTTACGACTGCTATGTCCTTGAACATAAGAGCAACTAGCATACAGAGGTCAGTCTGTTACGTAATGCTTGCATCAGATATCAGACTGCTGGGCTTTGTGCACGATAAGCAACTTCTGCTCTAAACGCTTACGCAATGTCCAAGGCGAATGCGAGTACGCGCGATGCGAACAGCGCACCGCATTAACGCATCGCAGATATGTTCGGGGAAACTGGAGGTGGCCAATGTTACTGCGTGCATGTAATCGATGCGTGCGATTCAGTTGTAGAACAGTCTACCGAGTAGAACAATGGCTTTGAGTTTGACGCGTACAATTTTATCAATGGAAAACTGTTTAGTAAAACTGAAAATAGTCAAGAACTTAAGAAGAGACGTATCAGACAAAAGACTCATGTAATATATAGGAATAGGTTGATTTATGGTGAATTTCATCGACTGTACCCTCAGTTACGAGCGGATGAAAAGTCATTTCGCCAGTAAACCAGAATGACAACAAATACCTTCGACTATATTGTGGAAGAAATACATGTTGCCTGTTATCCTTTTATTCCACACTGCATTTCTTTCGTGTACTTCTGAAATCAGCGCCTCCATTTCTATTGCTTGCCGGACGACAACTGCGGTAAAAATCAAACTGTTTGTTATTTCAAACGATGCGAGCGGTGCGCCTGCGTCGCATCGTACGTATCGCACGTGTCACGTGCTCAATTTGGACAAGTCCATTTAATACAACCAGATTGATCGTGAACGTCTACCGCGTTCCACGCATCGCACGGCACGCACCGTCGTGCCCGCCTTCACCTTGGACATGGCGTTACTTTCGAACTGACAACCGCTGGCGGAAATCCTGCATTTCAACCTACCATTCACGACTTTGTCCAAGTACTGCATGTCGAGGATGGAGTCGTAAGTGATGTTCCCGCCATGTTGCTCACTCACGCTGTCGATCTCGGCCTGGAGTCGCTCCTGGATACCTGGGTTCAGTGCCAGTTCGTACAGACAGAAAGCCATTGTGGTTGATGACGTCTCGAAGCCAGCGACAAAAAACACAAATGCTTGGGCAGCTATTACGTCCATTGTTACTTCTGAAATTGTTAAAACATGGTAATAACATCGCCATTGCGCACAGTTAGAAAAGGGTCCAGCTAGAACATTTCAGTACAACATAAAAAAGATAACAGGATACAGAAACAGGGCAAATGCGGCGATAGGTTTGAGAATTAAATTTCTCAAGATCGGGTAGAAGAAAAAGAATTTTTGAAGAAACAAAACCACTCTTCGCATTGAAACTTTGAAACAATGCTGCGCATAACTTTTAAGCTTTGTTTGTCGTGTGCATAAAATGTGAATTTTGTTTCTAAACATGGGCAATTAAGCGATATGTCCTCCTTTAACGTTTATTTATTGTTATCGTTGCTTATTCGTGGTATAATATTTTTGTTTCCTATATAAGAATTGTATATTAACGGCGGTGGGGATCCGTTGCGCTGACCACACGACACCCCCTATCCGCAAAAGTTGGCACTAACTTCGCTGACAAGCGGCGATCGCTCGGTCGGTATAATTCGCTTGCTGACTACAGGCCATTGAGTTTCTTATATAAGAATTTTATTGGAGTAAAGATAACGATACCCCTGTAACAGGCCATGAACGCCCTTGGGGTTGTGAGACGTCAAGGCTCCTGCATTTTATCTAGATAATCGGCTCACAGATAACGGCAAGCTTGTCATACGCGCCGGCCGCGCTTTACCTCCCAACCCGTGAAATCATTTCGATTGCGGAAGGATTTCGTGGCCAAATTAAAGTGGGAAACACTGCTCTGAAGAATTCGGTTCAATGTAGCCTGTACATAAAGTCGACATTTTAAACTATTGAACTTTCTTTAATTTAAGACGAGAGCTTCCTAAAGAAGCCCTCGTCTTATAGAAAAAGGAATTTACCGGGCCGCGGTCTGACAAAGGTTGAGAACCACTGTGCTAAACGACTCGAACTGTTGGCTTGAACTCCAAACGAATGCATTCCAGTAAGAAAGCGGTACAATTACTTACACCCTGAAGAAGCACTGTAACTGTCCATCTTCTTCTGCGTATGTTCTAGTGGTTGAAGTATAAATTGGACGGCTTCTGTGACCTTGCTTTCGCCGATAATTCTTCGTTGTTTTTTTTTCTTGTCTAAAAGTATGTTTCATTACTTCTATGTCCTTATGGACTTCACCCGTTTCCTGCTTCGTCCACTTCCTGCAACTCCAACTCCCAGATCACTGACAGATCTACGTAACGGCTATTCGCCCAGCCTTTCCAAAAGCCTCCAATATTCCACACAGTTGTAGAAGTGAGGTCCTTGCAAGTGACATTATTTCTACATAAAACTTAATCTATAGAAATGGTATTGTCTCTCACCGAATGGTTCATTATTCTCCAGCGCGTGAGTTTGTTTCTGGAGGAGTTGGACGTCCTCCCCCTCCGCCGCACCCAAAGTTTTGTTCTTCATTTTCATCATCAGTTGCAAGAAATCATTAGCCACCACGTTATTGCTCTGGCGAAACTCCACAGTCTGCTTCACCATTCTCCGGAAGTAGTTGCTGACATCCTTCGGAATGAGGGAGAGCTTCAAAGCGGGAACCAGAGCCGGAAACAGTAAGTTTAAAAACGAGGTTATTCTCTGTCTGAGATGCGGTTCAAATATTTTTTTCCCCCAACTACGAAATTCGGCATGTGGGTTCCTCAGACAGTTGGATTTAATTCCGAAAGCACATGACGAAATGATATCTGTACTGTATCTTGCTAGAAATTCCTTTATCTCCACAGGCCGTCCATTTCTGGCAGATTCCTGAAGACATTCCTGCAGTTCTCTCCCACAGTCTACCACTGTTCCAAACATAGTCTTTATTTTCCCTGATGTAAATACCGGGGTCAGTTTCACTCTCAGATTTCTCCATTTGGTCCCAGACAGTGCGAACAAGTGACCATCCAGAGGCTCGGATTCCTCATCAACTTGAAGTCCACGTGAGAAGAAATGGGCAAAGTCTTTCACTAGAATATTTTTTATAATGTCAGTGTCCCGTATGAGAAGAGATGGATACGTAAACCTGTACAGTCCCCCCACTTTGTGGCCCTCCAAGGCTTTGTACAGTTCCACTGTCTCATATTCCGGATTATTTCCGGATTTAATGGAATGTGCGAAGTTTCCAAATGGTGCAGTAGGTTTCAAGGTCGGGACGCCGCGGGTCTCCCAGTAGGAATAAGATATTTTGAAGTAGACATACAGAGTCGCCAGAACAATGGTGGACAGCGCTCCAAGCGGCAGAACCCACGAATCGAATGTCTCCAGCATTACCACAACCTGTTTCGGGAAGGAACACATATGCGTTATTTCTTTTCAGCATCTCGGCAAATACTCAGTTAATTTTATTTCTGTGACAAGTGGCCTGTTGGAGGTAGGAAGTAAAAATTTCATCAGATAAAATGTCTAAAGTTTAATCAGAGAACATAATACAGATGTCCTCATTTTAAGAATGTCTGTGAGCAATCGCAGAAACTTACCTTATAGCAGGATTCTGTATGTAGCAGCCCGCGGTACTGGTCGATATAATTCAATGCGCGATATGTTTATATGCACAAGCGTTCGTGACGCATTGGAGGAGAGATAACCCTCAATTTTTCTGGTCGTTGTAAACATCGTGTTATTTCATCCCAAAGGTTCGGTATATATTTTATTTTTGTTCGCGTAAGAACGACTCAGCATGACAAAACAAAACTGGAATTTTGTCCGATGTTCCCAGCATCAAGACGCTATGATAAACTTTGATAAATTGCCAGTGTACTTAATGATGTTGGGAGAAATCAGTTCGCTGCTAACATTCGGCGTAAACTTTGAGATTTTCACGCCGGTGAAGATCCGTCCGTGGTGATCTGGGCTCTGACGCCGCTCATTCCTATGTTTGCAAATTCCTGCCGCCCGCTGACATGTCAGTCAGCGTGAATACAGCTGCCATCTGTAGCCCTATTTTTTATTATTATTTTTTATTGCTTTTGGTGAGGGGGACTAAGTCCCTGTACTGCGGCCACTTCTGGCCTATTGTACCAATCTGTAGCCCTGAGTAATAACAGCTTGATATTCCTTCTCGATCCCAATACCCACTCTGTATCCTATCGATTGCACTCCATTTCTGTCAGTGAAGATGACTGCTAATCCCCGTCACTTAAAGCCTAGAACGTGTGAACTTCAAGGCAGATGTGCAGAAGGTGCAGAAGGAAAATACCCGAAACCTGCGTTCGAGCTGTACAAGGTTCGAATCTTAGGCAGGTTATTGGCAGTCCTTACACTCTCACAGTACGTCCACGCGACGGCCCGGATTGACACCTTTCAAACCCTTATCCACACGCTTTTCTTGATCAAACACACTTCATAACCTTAATGGTGGGAACACTGTTGAGAACAGGGTGCTGAGGGGAATATTCGGACCGAAGAGGGATGAAGTGACAGGAGGTTGGAGAAAACTGCATAATGAGGAGCTCCATAACTTGTACTCTTCTCCAAGTATAATTAGAAGGATCATGTCATGGATACTGAGATTGGCAGGGCATGTAGCACGAATGGGGGAGAAGAGGAATGCATATATAGAATTTTGGTGGGAAAGCCAGAAGGAAAGGGACCACTAGGTAGACCTAGTCATAGGTGGAAGGATCATAGAGAGATAGGATGGGGTGGTATGGACTGGATAGACCTGGCTTAGGATATGGACCAGTGTGTGGCTCTTCTGAATAAATTTTCAGTTTCCATGAAATGTTGGGAAATTCTAGAGCAGCTGCGCAACTGGCGGCTTCTCGAGAGAGGCTCAGCTCCTTGAAGTTAGTTAGTCAGTTGGAACACCTTCGTTAAATAACAAGGGTCAATCCTCATATACTCGTGAAATAGACTGGAACAGTTAGACAGACTTTCAGGCGTCCTTGTATGGAGGGCTGTCAGAATGACGGTCTGTGCGCTGGTATAGATGCCTAACCAGCGGGACATTCATTTTTTTAAATGGACGCGGGAGATTTGGGCGAGTAGCGGCAGGGCAGTTCAGTAGTTCAATTTCCAGACATGTTTTCCCACAAAAATTATTTATTTCAATTACGAGAATGTTTATGTATGTAGTATAAGCAGCCGTTCATAAAATATTTCGTTTAAATTCGATATGACAGAATTCTGCGAAAAGTTAGTTTCGGTATTTAGCAATGCTGATAGATTACAAAGTCAACTTTATCACTTAAGGCCATTAAGTATGGGATATCTTACATACGGTCAGACGAACAAATTGCGAATTTTTAACCGTGTTGGACAAGGTCATAAAATGTGAGAGATCTTTGCACTAATTTCACTTTCAGTAGGTTTAATAGACCGCCTCTGTGGTCTAGTGATCAGCGTTCTTGGCTACAGAGCCAGAGGTCCGGGTTCGATTCCCGGCGCTACTGGATTTTCTGAGAAGTAGTGGGTCTGGAACGGTGTCCATTCAGCCTCGTGATGATAAATGAGGAGCTATTTCAAGGAAATAGCGGCTCCGGTCTAGAAAACCGAAATTAACGGCCGTGGGGATTCGTTGCGCTGACCACGACATCCTCTATCGGCAAAAGTTGGCACTAACTTCGCCGACAAGCGTTGGTCGCTCGGTCGGTATAGTTCGCTTGCGGACTAAAATCACGGAGTAGGTTTAATAACCTGCGACGAACGCCGTTGGGAAGTTTGTACACTGCGTTAGTGACTGTGCTGTATACCGTTCAGAGGTTCTCCAGCAGCCAGCGTGACTGCGCGTGTATGAAACGGCGCAGTGACACAGCATGACGAGCAAGATCTCGGATGTCAGTGTTTATCCCTTGACAATGACTCGTATATTTGCTTGACTTCCGATGCCCCCTCTAATTAAGCCATTACCCAATACACATATTTACAGAACTATTTGTCTTGTCATTGCGTGTGCTTATGGCTCTCGTGGTCCCAAGTCACTGACCGCACGGACGGTCTCTTACTTTAAATGCCTTCGTTACAAAATTCGCATAAAGGGAACGCAAATTAGGAAGGTCACGTGTTTATGTCTGGCACATATTTCAAATTCAGAAGCGATGGACGAAATTTAATAAAATTTGGTACGATGTTTGGCCCTGGAGGCCGCGCCACGCGCCGCATTTGAATTTATAGCAATTGGTAATAAAAACAGTCAGAGTCAGAGTCAGAGTCAGAGTCAGAGTTACTTTATGACTGGCGGTTTACCGCCAATCAGTTCGTCTTGCATCTAAGCCCCTTCAGACTGACGACCAATAACCATACTGTAACGTGGATGGCACAACAGGAAGTAGGGGTCACGCGAACTCTGCGTTTCCGCGAGTGACGTCACATACCCCCACTCCTTCCATCATTACGCCTTCTTTATCATTTTCCTAAAATATAACACAGCAAGTCTATTTTTATACAAGCTTTCGTAAAAGTACCTTTTACCTTTTCTTCTTATATTCCTTTCCAGTTGCACACAACATCGAGTTCGATATTTCCATTCCCTCTCACGAATAGCACGCACCAATGGTCAATCGTAAACAGTCTCCTTTATGCAGGATACTTCACTGCACAAACCTACATGGAAATATTATCAATACAAAATAAACACGATAAACTGAAATAAACTACTACTCACATCTCAGCACTTGCGGTAGTAGTTCTTATGTAACGTCCTCTCTGACGAGAGGATAAGTCCATTGTTTACAATTTCTGCTGGCTTCGCCACCGCAGTCATTCTCAGCTCCAAGTCCCGCGGAACTCATGACCACATTTTACTGTCTTGGATTCGAGACTCCCCCAACCTGGAGGGCCAGGTCCCCGTATTTATGTCCCCCAGTCACGGGGTGCCCCAGTTACACTCCCGGGCACTGGGCTCCCTTTTCGTCTCCTCCTACGACTCGCAGGACTACGGTGGAGTCATTCGAACACGCCTCCACACGGGGTTAACAAAAAAGTTCGGTAGCACGAATTTTTGAGGTGGGCCCAGCACATTGGCGCCTGTCCAGAAACACGGTAACCATGGTGACAAACAATTATAGTAACTAGTAATAACCACAGCAAGCAGAGCTGTACTTAACATTAGTAACGTCTCTATCAGAGTTGCTCTGGGCGTCTAGAAACACTCAGACGAGCCGCGACAGCTCAGTCGGTATAACAGCTACAGAGTTGAGCACCAGTTCCGGGGCTTCTAGAAGCACTCACACGAGCCGCGACAGCTCAGTCGGTATAACAGCTACAGAGTTGAGCACCAGTTCCGGGGCTTCTAGAAGCACTCACACGAGCCGCGATAGCTCAGTCGGTATAACGGCTACAAAGTTGGGCACCAGTTCCCGGAAGGTGCGGCTCTGGGCTTCTAGAAACACTCAGACGAGCCGCAATAGCTCAGTCGGTATAACGGCTACAGAGTTGGGCACCAGTTCCTGGAAGGGGCGGCTCTGGGCTTCTAGAAGCACTCAGACAAGCCGCGATAGCTCAGTCGGTATAGCGGCTACAGAGGTGGGCACCAATTCCTGGAAGAGGCGAGATATCTGGATGGAGCTATACCGCTCCTCCCCCATACGTCTTCATGGTGTGGCGACGGATTTACATGTTCTGAGCATCCATAAATGCCGTCTGTCTGTCTGTCTGTCTGTCCATGTGCGCCGCGCGAGCGCCTGAACGGTTGAAAACAATTTCTTCATATTGAGGCGTAGAGACACGTTGTTAAGAGGTGACGCTGTAAACAGCGGCAGTAGCTAGGCAACATAAACGCACACAACAGTAGAAGAGCTGTGTTTTCTAGGCGGTACTTCCCGAGGGGTTATCAATGGGACAAGCTTGGAGCTCATTTTTAACGCCTAAAGTCCCGTTCCTTGTTTGTAAACACGATATCCGGACCTGAAGTCGGAAGTGATGTCTGACCGGTATATACAGGTCTATGGCTTAGATTGGTAGCCAAGTACCAGTGCACTTACTTCATTTTGTATTATGCGTTCTTCGAAAGGTTGGGTATCCGTGTATCAGGCCACATGTCGTCACATTCCACAGGACTCTCAACTTAACTTATAAATCAGAGCCAAGTTAGCAAATATGTATTGTATTTTAAGTTAAATTACAAATTCCTTATCAGAATTTAATGTAAAGTAAGGCTAATTAATCATTTAACCCTACATTCTAAGACTGGGGAATGTTACCCTTAAAGTGCGTAAGTATGGTGAAATGAGTACATATATTGGTAACACTGCTTCGAAAGAGAAGCGTAACATTATCTGCCATGTCTTCTTTCCGTTATCCTGAGGTGCATCCCGCCAACAGGTGTAGTTACTTGAGTTTCCTCTGACACCCACACCTCGTAGCTGGACAGGAGGCTGACGAGGCCCACTTTGGTCTGCATCAGGCCGAACTTCATTCCTGCAACACAGCAGTGGTTATGATATGGGATATAACGCCGTGTAGTCCTTCGAAGGTCAATGGACGTTTCGCAGGAACATATTCGACCATGAAGATAGAGGCGATATGTTCATCCGAAACGTCAGTTTGGCTTTCAGAGGACTAAAGGGCATTTTATCCCATAAGATATTACTCTTCAATTCGCACACCCATTATGCAATTCTTATTGGTGCACATTTCCACT